GGAGGAGTGAGCTCTTGTACCAAGCGACTTCCCCACCTCCCCCAGGTTCCTGGCCCCAGGAACGGGGCAGAGGGACACAAACTCAGCCCCAGCTGCCTCCCAACCCTGACTCCCCACAGCAGAACCCTGGCTTCACTGGGGGGGTCCTTTCTGTTCGCTGGTTCCCTGCCCTCCCTGGAGGTCGAACCCTGGCTTCATTGGGGGGTCCTTTCTGTTCGCTGGTTCCCTGCCCTCCCCGGAGGTCCCCCGAGGCTGGCAGACCTCCGCCAGCATGACTCCCCGCTGCCCTGGCCCCAAGCAGAGCGCTAACTGCACGCCGGCCCCCTCTGCCCCCGGCCCTCTCTGCCCCACGGAGGCCGACGGGCGAGGGCCACGAGGAAGGGAAAAGCACCAGCTACCTCCACCAGCCGCTTGTCCGACTCCAGCTTGTAGAGCTGCTCCTCTATGTCCTGCTCCCTCTCCTCCAGGCGGTCCTGCTGCTTCATCAGCATCTTCTGCAAGAGACAGGGCAGGCGGCCATGAGGCATGGGGCGAGCCGGGGAGGGACGCGGGGAGAGGATCAGAGTTACACAACAGCAATGGGGGCAGCTGAGCGGCACGCTGGCTGCCGGGCTGCCCCGCGATTGGAATCGTCCACCCCTGATTCACGGCCCCCGGTAGCGCCGGGGCTGTCTGGGGGTAGCAGTGACCAGGGGAGGGTCTTACAGAGCAGCCAGACCAAAGACAGTGGGCAACGCCAGGGAACAACACAGGGAATCATCAAGTGATCCCTCTCCTGTCGCCCCTTCTCAACTTCCGACAAACAGAAGCCAGGGACACCATTCCTACCCTGGCTAATAGCTATTGATGGCTGATCCTCCATGAATTTGCTTTTTTGAACCCTCTTCTATCTAGTCTTGGATTTTACAACATCCTCTGGCAAGGAGTTCCACAGGTTGACTGTGTGAAGAAATACTCTCTTTGTTTTCAACCTGCTAATTTCATTTGGTCACCCCAAATTCGTGTGTTATGGGAAGGAGTAAATAACTCTTCTTTATTCACTATTTCCACCCCTGCCACGATTTGCAGACCTCTATCATATTCCCCCCGCCCTTCATGGTCTCTTTTCCAAGCCGGAAGTCCTGGTCTTATTCATCTCTCCTCACAGGACAGCTGTTCCATATCCCTCGTCATCTGTGCTGCCTTTTTCTGAACCGACATCTCTGCTTCCTCCTGCACGGGGAGGGGACTTTACATTGGTTCTTTCTTGATAAGCGAACTCTTCTAGGCGGACAGCCTGTTTGCGCCTGGAGGCCACCTTGGAGCAGCGGTCCCGAGGGTCGGCTTTGAAAGGTCGATGTTCCCGCCCCACACAGCGGTCCTGGCCACTGAGGGGTGTGACCCCTTCCTGTTTAGGATCCAGCGTTTCGGCTCCCCCCTACAAGCGATGCTGTCAGGGTAACAGCAACCATCGCAATTAGCGGACACAGACTGGGGCTGGCGGGACAGCCCCTCCCCTGGATACGCCGATATCTGCTCTCCCTCCCAGACCCCCAGAGAACCATCCGGCTGCACCGAATTCCCAGGGTCACCCAGGGACCCATGGGAACCCCTTTCCCTGCACCGCTTCCTAGACAGCCACCAGGCCCGGCTGCGAACAATAAAACAAGCGGAGAAACCAGCTTCCCGCCTGTTCTCCTCCCTCTGCCCCACGTAACCCCACTTCCCCCTCACTTAGGGACAAGGTTTGCATCTGAACAACCAAGTAAAGAACCCCAGGGGCTATTAACACTGGCAATCAACGTGGCAAGCTGCCCGAGTATGTTGTCACCCTAACGTCTGGTAGGGATAACTGCCTACTACCGCCAAGCGGAGAAACCAGCTTCCCGCCTGTTCTCCTCCCTCTGCCCCACGTAACCCCACTTCCCCCTCACTTAGGGACAAGGTTTGCATCTGAACAACCAAGTAAAGAACCCCAGGGGCTATTAACACTGGCAATCAACGTGGCAAGCTGCCCGAGTATGTTGTCACCCTAACGTCTGGTAGGGATAACTGCCTACTACCGCCGCCGGCTGACTGAGCCGTTCCTTTAGCTCCAGGCGTGGAAGCGGCTGCTTCGGTACAGACGTTTGCCAGTTCGATCCCCGCGCGTGACCCCTGGCGTAGGGCGTTACGTTTATGCTGCTCTTATTACCTCTGTCCCTCCTCGAGAGGATCCCAAGCTGCCGGGTGAAAGATCAGTTATTCCCCGTCTGATACACACGGAACCGAGGCGCAGAGTGTCTGAAGTCACACGCCAGGGTAGAAAACAAGCGCCGGCTTTCCGCCCCCCCAGTCCAAATCCCCACACTCCCAGATTTTTTTAGGGGTGACGAGGGAGGGAAATAGTACAGCCTGGCTGATGGGAGCGAAACGCGCAGCGTGTGGGAACGAGGCCAAATCCCATTTAACAGGCCCTCTAGAGACGCCGACCCCGTTCTAGGCTGTACACCGGGGTGGGGAATCTAAGGGCAGCCCCCCCCAGCACTGGGGAGCCGTGCTGGTGTGCCAGCCCTCTGTCCCCCTCCCCGCACAGAGCTGGAGCACACATCATCTACCAGCCAGGGTCTGTTGTGAGCAGGGAGTTTTTTTCCTCCTCCACGCTCGCCGGCTTGAGACCCTTCACGCCGGGGAGGGGTGTTTCTTAGCTTCTTGCTTGCATGTGGCCTCGGACTGATTTTCTGTGGGTCAGCAGCCCCCAACCCAAAGCAGGCTCCTTGCCCCAGTGGTAGACACTGCCAGAAACCAGTCCGAGCAGGCGTGTGTCCGTCCCTAGGTCTCCCAGCCTGATGGATATTGAGCAAAGATGGTTAGTTGGGACCTCGCGGTTTTTTCCCGTTGGTTCTGTTGTGTAACGAGCGAAAGACACAACAAGGCGGGAGATAGGAAGGAAAGGCTGATCAACAGCCTGTCCCAGGAGGGGGCTCGTCCCAAGCGAGGAGAGAAGGCAGCCTCCCTTTCTGATACGGGCGTTTTGGGGAGAATAAAGACTCAGCTACATCTAGCTGGCGAATTTCTACTCTCACCCCCAGGCTATGTCTACACTGGCGCGATCTTGCGCCAGAGCTATGCAAACGAGGCTAAGCGTGGACTATCGCCGAGCCTCATTTGCATATCTAATGAGCAGCCATTTTGGCGGAAGAGGCTCGTGCGCCGGAAGGAGCCGTCTACACGGCCCCTTCTTGCGCAAGAAAACCCCTCTTGCGCAACGCCGCTACGCTGATCATTTTCAGGAAGAACGGCATCGCGCAAGAGGGGTTTTCTTGCGCAAGAAGGGGCCGTGTCGACAGCTCCTTCCGGCGCACGAGCCTCTTCCGCCAAAATGGCTGCTCATTAGATATGCAAATGAGGCTCGGCGATAGTCCACGCTTAGCCTCGTTTGCATAGCTCTGGCGCAAGATCACGCCAGTGTAGACATAGCCCAGTGTTTTGGCCGGCGGAGTGAAAGATCACAACAGGGTCCCAGGCTGATCACTGGCATGGACATTTGCATGTGGATTTTGCGAGGTCGCCTACACACGGGAGTCCACGCGGCGCCGGTGGGAGAAGACGTTCCCGCACGTTCCCGCCCGAGGCAGAAGGCCCGTCCTTGAGGATTTAGGGCTGAGAGAAGAAAGAACATTTTCAAAGCAGCCCAGCCCGCCGCTTTCTCTCGTCCAACTGGGGGAATCCAGTTCTGGGACCAGGACAGCGTCTTCCCCAGGATCAGCAAATGGAAGAGACGCACACGCCCAAGCCCTAAAAGACCGAATCAATTAAAAAGCCAAAAATGGCTCCAAGCCTCTGAGTCATCTGCTAAACAGCTTGGCTCCAAGGCCTGGTGTTCCTGCCAGAAGGCAAGCTAAGAGCCTCTGGTACAGGACCAGTGCCGGGCAAAACCAGTCACTGTGTCCAAGGCGCCCTGCCCGTAACGCGCACACAGAATTCTCAGACATTTGCCCTGAATTCTTCCCTGCCTTAAGCTCGTCCGAAAAACCCGCTGCGTTCCTAACGGTTAATGACAGAGGCGGAAGGGAGGGGTCGCTTGGAAACCGACCGGCTGGGAGAGCTATGTGGAGGAGAGCGGCAGCAAAGACCAATTTTGAGGGGATTATTGCTAATATAAACCAAACACTCTGGGATTTATAATCAAGTAATTAATTCCTGGTCTAAGCAGGGGGAGGGAGGTGGAGAGGGAGGCAGAGTGGCGGCGGACAGCTGCCATGATTAATTGCACTGCGGGGAAAGGCTGTAGCCTTCAACGTAATTCATAAGCAAGACCGTACAGCCTCCTCCTTTGGTCATTTTTCTTAAGGCCCAGGGCACCTGCATCCTCGGAGAAGCCGGGCACCAAGGGGGCCTTCAGGTGCTCAAAGGGGGACTGACATGTTGAGCGGACCTCAGCTCTGGGCCCAACCCACGACGGCACAGAGTCCTCACCAGCTGTTTTCTCCCCCGGCGTCAGTCAAGAAGCCCACGGGTTAAAATCCGCCAGCAAAGGTTAGGGAGCCTAACAGGGGACGAGGGCGCTGGGATTTATTTTTAACGTTCACAATGGAAAGTAGCTTTTAAAACAGACCAGCATTCCCCAGCTGGGTCTGTAGGCAGCCCCCTAGGCGGGGCGGGGGGACGGGAGCAGGGAACGGCCTCGAAACTGACTAGCTGCGCCAGTGAAACTGACTAGCTGTGCAATGAACAGGAAGGGGCGTGTGCACGCTAGGGGTGTAAAAACCCAGTTAACTGCTTAAAATGGGGACAGGTGGGGGCTATTCGGTTAACTGTAACCGACAAGAGCAGCCCGCCTGGCCTCCAGTTAACCGTAACCGGCAATCAGCAATCTGGCTGGGCCTCGGGTAAACCATAACTAGTAAGCAGCAGAATGGCTGGGGCCTACGGTTAACTGTGACTGGCAAATATCACCCGGTAAGGGTAACGCTTACCAGCTAACTAGCGTACACACATGCATGTGCCGCATGCACCCTTACAGCATTATTCGTATGTATACTGCATAGCACCGATTGGCCACAAGGGAAAGGGGAGCCCGGTGGTGCCAGGCGCTGTACAAACACCGAGCCAGCCCCTGCCCTGAAAAACTTGCCATCTGATCAGACCCGGCCAAGTAGAAAGGGAAGCTGGACTTGCCGGCTCCAATCCCTACCTGCTAATGCAAGGCTCCATCCACTGGACTTCCCTGCCCCCCTCAAACCTTCCCGCTCCTGATCAGAAGAGCTGCCCCCTTCTGTATCATAGACCTCACACTGCCAGGCCAGCCCCTCTAACACCCCGGTGTTTCAGGAGGCCAAGAAAGAGCCCAGTAGGGCTGCGAAGGGTTAACCTGGTCACATCGCCCGTAACGGCTCACCAGTTCCAGTTAGCCAATGGGAACAGGAGCAGCTCCCCGCCCACCGTTGACAGGGACCGTGGGGTGCGTCTAGACTGGCATGATCTTGTGCAAAAGCAGTCGCTTTCGCGCAAAATCTGGCCGCCTGTCTACGCT